TCTGACCCACCCGAAGGTGTCCTTTTTAAGTCTTGTTAATATACATAATGACATACAATCCAAAGTAAATGGAAACGTCATATTGCGATTGCATTGCCCTGGCGAGACTCTCGTCTTAATAGATTTCGAGGGGGTGGGGGCGGTGGTTCACGCCCGTAGTCCCAGCACTTTGAGAGGCCAAGGTGGGAGGATCGCTATAGACCAGAATCAAGATCAGCCTGGCCAACAGGGAGAAAGCCGGTCAATACCAAAAAAAACAAAAAACAAAAAACAAACAAAAAAAACCCCACAAAACCAATTAGCCGGGCGTGGTGGCATGCACCTGTAGTTCTAGCTACTTGGGAGGCTGAGGTGGGAAGATCCCTTGAGACTGGGAGGTAGAGGCTACAATGGCATTCCAGCCTGTGAGACTGTCTTTAAAAAAAAAAAAAAAAAAAAAAAAAAAAGATTTGGAGGGGTTGGAGAGGAGGGTGGAAAAACAGAGGAAAAGGCAACTGGGACTTACTCAGACCATGGTCTTGTGACTTTCACCAGGAACCCATTTGAGGGAGGCCCCCAAGTCACAGATGGGGAAACTGAGGCCCAGAGAGGTTAAAATATTTATGCAGAATCATACAGCTGGTCAATGACAGAAGCAGGATTCAAACTGAGGCCTCCCAAGACTTTCTGCACCAGGACCAGCCAGCCGTGCTGTTATCTAGTCATTCAACAAACAGCTGTGGAGTACTGAGATGGATGTTTTAATACTATGCAAAGCGGTTTCAATCAGAGCCAGAGGAATTACTACACAGCCAAGCCTACAAAAGCAGTCCCAAGAAACAAGGTGGAAAAGGCAAATAGATCTCCTTCTTCACTTTTACGCTGAGAGCTTATGCTCTTCTCACAACTTACCTGCAGGCAGGGTTGGGAAAATTCAGAATTTCATAGAATACAAAAGCACTGAGAGCAAGACGTAAGTGAACAGGATGTGTTGGTGGAAATTCTGTCATTGCAACATCACTAGCAGCTTTGTAAGCCACGAGGCTATTCTCCACAGGCACCTTCCTGTCCTTTCCTGTGGCAAATTCTGCCAGATACCTGTGGTAGTTCCCTTTCTAAAACAAAACAAAACAAAAACAAAAACAAAAAATTTAAGGCCGGGGGCGGTGGCTCACGCCTGTAATCCTAGCACTTTGGCAGGCTGAGGTGGGTGGATCACCTGAGGTCGGGACTTAGAGACCAGCCTGGCCAATGTGGTGAAACTCCGTCTCTACTAAAAATACAAAAACTAGCCAGGCCTGTGGTGCGCAACTGTAATCCCAGCTACTCAGGAGACTGAGGCAGGAGAATCACTTGAACCTGGGAAGTGGAGGTTGCAGTGAGCCGAGATGGTGCCACTGCACTCCAGCCTGGGTGACAAAGTGAGACTCCATCATTCAAAAAAAAAAAAAATACACCAGGAACAATGATTTTTAAAGGAAAATAGCTAAACGTTGTTCTATATAAAATGTGACAATATATGTAACAAGTGTACTTCAATCATTTTAAGCACTCTCAGGAATAATTGGCTTTCATTTTTTTCCATACACATTTCATATTATTTTGCTTATTAAATACAAGCAAAAGTCCCACAAATTTTAACTGAGGAGGCTCTAAAAATCAGCAAAATTATCACTTGATAGACTATAATTAAGCAAGTGGTTCCAAGAAATGGCACAACAGTGTTTAATCATAAAATTTCTATGTAAGCCATTCAGACAGCACTGTGAAATGTACGGGTGTTTGGGGGAGGGGAATGGGGTGGGTCCACGAAAGCAAAAGAATGTAAGTAAAGCAAAAGCTAATGCATCGTTATAATAGCCCGACCATCTCTTTATTCCAGCATTAACTATCCTTCTAACATTAAACAATTATTTCTAAATACAAGTTGAAAACCTACATAGAAGAAAGTCATGATTCTAAAAAGGCCAACTTTTAATCCCTTCTAGTATAGAAGCTACATTTCGTAATAGAAAACATTGGACTTGCCAGTGTTAGCTGCTGGAATGAGGTGTTTGTCCGGTACATCCAGAATGTCACCACAGATGAAGCTCAGTCTCAACCTGAAGAAATAAAAATAAATTTTTTAAAAATCAGAGGCTGGGCGTGGTGGCCCATGCCTGTAATCCCAGCACCTTGGGAGGCTGAGGCGGGCAGATTACCAGGTCAGGGGCTCCAGACTAGCCTGGCCAACAAGGTGTGTTGAGAAATGCTGAGAGTATGATAAAATTACATTGTTTGCTAAGAAGAACGATGGCAAGGAAAACCTAGCCACCACCCCCAGTGGTAAAACTGCTTGGGGCATTCTAAAGTAGCAAACGGTATATGTATATCATACACCGGTTACAACAATTCTTTAAGCACGGGTATGTGACCCTGCCCCCGTGGCTCCCTCGTGGAGAATACTTTGTAGTTTGTCCTTGATCAGTGGTAAGCAGACACCAGCTGCCTACCTAGTTTATCTTGGTTCTATGAGAAAACACAGGACACCTGTTTGTGAATAATCATCACCTGTTCAGAGAAAACTTGTTTATTAATAATAATCACCTGTTCAGAGAGAGCACTCTTATTAATAATAATCACCTGTTCAGAGAGAACTCTTCAGAACGCTGTTCTCTCTGAACAGGTGATTATTATTAATAAACAGCGTTCTTTGCTTTCTATTCCAAGACTTTCACTTGTTCATACCCCTAACTGTGTCGCTTTGTACTAGATGTCTTAAATTGTAATACTCCACTCTTGGCCCTTTTTCTTTTTTATTTTCCAGATGGAGTCTTGCTCTTGTTGCCCAGGCTGGAGTGCAGTGGCACGATCTCGGCTCACTGCAATCTCCACCTCCTGGGTTCAAGCAATTCTCCTGCCTCAGCCTCCCGAGTAGCTGGGATTACAGGCATGTGCCACTACGCCCGGCTAATTTTTTGTATTTTTAGCAGAGACGGGGTTTCGCCATGTTGGGCACACTGGTCTCACACTCCGACCTCAGGTGATCCTCCCACATCGGCCTCCCAAAGTGCTGGGATTATAGGCGTGAGCCACCTCACCTGGTCGTTCTTTCCTTCCTTTTCTTTCTTTCTTCCTTCCTTCCTTTTCTTTTTCTGTCTCTCTTCCTTTTGTCCTCCCTTTTCTTTCTCTTTCTTTTTCTCTTTCTTCCTTCCTTCCTTTTTTTTTCCCTCTCTTTTCTTTTTCTCAGAGTCTCACTCTGTCGCCCAGGCTGGAGTGCAGTAGTGTGATCTTGTCTCACTGCAACCTCCGCCTCCCGGGTTCAAGTGATTCTCTTGCCTCAGCCTCCCAGGTAGCTGGGACTACAGGTGCCACACCTGGCTAATTTTTTATATTTTTACTAAAGACGGGGTTTCACGGTGATAGCCAGGATGGTCTCCCTTTCCTTACCTCGTGATCTCGCGTTCTGTCTTTTCGTTCTCTCTCTTTTTTAATGTATGTGTCTCATCTTTAGATCAAGAGATCGAGACCATCCTGGCTAACATGGTGAAACCCTGTCTCTATTAAAAATAAAAAAGTTAGTTGGGCATGGTGGCACATACCTGTAGTCCCAGCTGCTCGGGAGGCTGAGGCAGGAGAATTGTTTGAACCTGGGGGGTGAAGGTTGCAGTGAGCCAAGATTGCTCCATTGCATTCCAGCCTGGGAGACAGATTGAGACTCCATTTCAAAAAAAAAAATTTTTTTTTTCCACTCAGGTCAGTGCCCAGTAGAGCTGGTGAGTCAGTAACTGTGGTTCCCTCACTTTGCCCTTCCCCTCCCAAGCTCACTTGCCACCTGCCCTGTAATTCCCTTCCCTGTTCTCTTTCATGTGTTTACGTGCCTGTCCCTTCCACTGGAATCAGTTTCTCAACAGCAGCGCTATGGTCAGTTTGGGCAGAATCATTCTTTGCTGCGGGGACTGTCCTGTGCATAGCAGAAGGGTTAGTAGCAGCCTAGTCTCCACCCCACTAGATGCCAGTGGCACCCTCCAAGCTATGACAGTCAAAAATATCTCTAGACATTGTCACATGTCCTCTGAAAGACAAAATCACCTCTGATCGAAAACTGCTGCACTAGAATAATGGCCACCAAACTTTTCGGAGCAAGATCTACAATAAGAAACATTTTGTATGTGTATATACACACACGGGACGTGAAATAACTTCATTAAATCATTCTTACCCTTACAGTGTCCCACTCCAATATTTTTTTTTGTTTTTTTAATTAAGACAGGTTGGGGGCTCAAGCTGGGCTGATTGGGCCTTCAGCCCTCAGAGTCAGTGACCCTCCCATCAGGGTGGCCTGACTCCTCTGGGAGGCTGGGTCAGACAAGGTCTTGCAGCTCCTCATGGGGGGCACTCATTTCAGTGGGGATGTGACTTCTGGAGAAGGGGCTTGCCCAGGGCTTGAGGCTTCCCTGAGCCCTCCCGAGTTGGGTCCTGGCCCAGTCTGCCTATGAGGGTGATCCTGAGTCCTGTCCTCTGCCCTGGGATGACCCCTCTTGGGCAGAGGGTCTTGCTGTATGTCCTGTGGGGACCTGCTTGAGCCTCCTGTGGGCTGGGGGTAAACCACACCCCTGGGCTGGGGAAGCAGGGCACTGCAGGGCAAGGAGGGTCCCTGAGCCAGGGCCTCATTGTGCCTCCTTACCCCGTCACTCAGCATCCAGAGAAGCCGGCCTAACGGGAAACCCTGTGCACCTAGTCCTTCCTTGTCCTGATGGGAGGAACAAAGGTGCTCAGGGCTCCTGGGCTGCTCTAGAAACCTCCCTTTTCCAGGGCCCTCTGAAGACCCCTCCCCAAGTGCAGAACACTGGGTGGTGTCCAGGGCTCCCCACAACACCATCTCTTTCCCGCACTCCTGGGGGACACACTGCCATTAGCCCTGCTCTGTGGGAGCTGGGCCCCAGTCCCTGTGCCTCTGTCTCTTCCAGGGCTGGAAAAAAAAAAAACCAATTCCCAGCCCACAGAGAACCCCATGTCCCAGGTCAGGCCCTGGCTGCGACTCAGCCTGTCACCAGCCCAAAGAAGGGCACCAGCCCCACTGCTCCTCCAGCCCCACATGATGCAGGGCCTCTGGGGAAGAGCCGAGAGAACCATAAACTCACCAGATGCCACATGGCCTGGGGTTGTGACATGGGTACCACACGTTCCTGATGGTCTCGGAGCCCCTGGACTGTCCCACCATTTGGGCTGTGGAATCCTGAGAAGCCCCCAGCCCATCATGAAATCAGAGCCCTCTCCCAAGTTGTGGAGTCGTCAGCTGGAAGAGCTGGGCAGCTGCAGAGGCCCCCACTCCTCGAGGCCTCCTACCCTCCCATCTGCTGACCCCACCATGTGGCGTTGGCCCTGAGGAGGAGGGGTGGGACCATCCCCTGGAGCCTGGCTGGAGGTGCTCCTGGAGGCCTCCTGGGCCAGGGTACTGGGAGGGCAAGGCTGACTTTGAGGCCATGACAGAGGGCAGCCAGAACAGAGTGGGTGCCGGGCTTCGTCATTTCCTGGAAGTGGCATCGGGCGAGGGGACACGGGATGGGGAGATGCTGCTATCTGGGCTTGGTCCAGCCATTCGTGGGCACCAAGGGCAGCTGGAGCCTGGGCAGCTGAAGGGCAGGAAGACTCTCAGGGAGGGGAGAGTTAGCTGCACAGAATCAGAGCCGGAGGGCGTGGCTCCAGGACACAGAGGGCGGCCACGGGGAGGATGAGATGCCCTCTGCTGATGGGGATGGAAGGTGTCTGACTTGGGCTCTGGGGGTCAGCCCTGTGCCCCTGTGGGACCCTCAGCAGAGACATCCTAAAGACTCCCAACAAGCTAGCGATACAGGAGAGTGCCTTCACTGAGAGTCAAGATCACCTAACCAGGGTGGCCATCCCAGGGTCTGGCTGCGTGAGGCCTGGGGGGCAGCCGTCCACCTACCCTGTGGGGAGCGCCTCTCACTGGCAAGCAGCTGCGCCAGTGCCCAGAATGCGTCCTCCTCAGGCAGATAAAGCAGGAACAAGGCGGCCACATGGCTCAGGTCTCTGCAGTAGCCCACCTCCTGCAAGAGCGAGAGTCACCGTGGAAGGACATCACCATGGAAGGATATCACCTGGGTGCTGAGGTCACCTAGGAGGACTCATGTCATCAGAGAGGGCAGAGATGACTGGGGAGGCTTCCTCTGAAGAAGAGGCTTTCTCAGGATGCAAATTCATTTCATTTCATGACAAGAGCCATGTCCATCGGGCACTTCAGCAACTTGTCAAAATGTCTCTGAGAGCACCGTCCTGTGTTCGACACCACCAAGCTCCTGGGCTTTGGGGCAGCCCCAGGAGGAAGGTGTCATTTCTTGCTCTGAGAAGTGGTGGTCAGGCCCAGGTGACACCAGGAGTCGGGGCCCTGACTCCTTTGTGTCTCAGTTGGATACCCCTTGAGACCACCCCCTTGCTTGGAGGTTTATGCCAGTGGTGAGCTAGAGTCATGCCCTCTATATCCTGGTGGGTCACAAATACTGACTTTGAAAGAAGCAGTGACACCCCCAGTAGACACCCACGCCAGTGAATAAGGGAATATGACCTGGGAATATGGTCACTGCCCGGGAATACTCACCAGGTTATACTCTGAATACGCCAGCAGGATGTGGAATAGTTCCCACAGCCTGGGAAACAGAGAAAGGGGGCTTTTGTTTCTTTTGTGCAGATGCTGTTAGTTTCACTTTGTCTACAAAGTCTAACAACAAATCCCATTTCATGTTCAGGTGATTCACCAGATAAGCAGTGAGTTCCTCAGGCCTTTGACTGTTTAAGAAAGGTTTCAGTAAAATCCACATCTGTGAAATGCAAACGGCCCAGTTGGATGGTGAGTTGATTAATCATTTTTGCTCTGATTTTTTTTTCAGTTTGCACACACGCCAGTTCAGTCTTTGGGTGTACAGTTCCACCACGGTTCTAACCCGATGAGCAGAGTCTCCTGGCCACCGCTCCAGCCCCTGCTGGAGCGACTCCTTCATCCTCCAAGTCTCCCCCATTCCGTCAGCCCCTGGTCACCCAGACCGGTTCTCAGTCCCTCTGGTTTGGCCTTTTCCAGAATGGCCTATGAATGGGAATCCTAGAGGTAGCTTATTGTTTCTGGCTTCTTTCCCTTAGCAAAATGCATCTAGGAACCACCCATATTCGTGCAGACATCACTGGCTTGTTCCCTTTTCTCACTGAGTCTTCTGTTTGAAGGGAGGACCATCCTTCCTCGTCCCATTCCCATGCTGAAGGTTGTCCCCAAAGGCTCCGTGTGTGCGTGATAATGAATGAAGCAGTGAATGTGGCATGTGGGTTTCATGTGGACGTCAGTTTCCAAGTCAGTGGGTTCAATATCTGTGACACTTTGGGGACATTTGTTTCAAGTGTATTGGCCTCTGTGAGACACTGTCCAACTGACTGCCGAAATGGCTGTGCCATGTCACATTCCCAGCAGACCTGGATGAGTTTTCAGGATTCTGAATGCCACAGCGTTTGGTGATGTCAGTGCCGCCTAGGGAGGCTCACGAGGCCTCCATCCTGCCACCCTCCCGTGGGTGCTACCAGGGATTCCCGTGGGTCAGGGAGAGCACTTTTCACCATTGTGCATGGTTTTGTTTGCTGCCCTGTCTCCTCAGGATCCTCGTGGATTCTGGCCCCGCATGTTCCAGCCTGGCCCAGGGCTTGGAACATGGGAGCTGCTCGGTCCATGGTGCCGGCTGCTCCCTGGGCCAGGAGAGCCCTTGGCAGCTCTGTCATCCCTTCTGGAGACCTCGGCTTCTGCTCTGGGGAAGTCCCCATCCCTCTGGCTCACCCCATCTCCGCTGGGGCCCTGTGGCTCCCGTGGGCTTAGTTGACTCTGTATTGATCCCTGAATAGAAGATGGTTTGTGAGTGTCTTGCTCACGTCCAGGTCGATCTGGCGGATGTGTTGACAGGACCTCTTCCCCTTTTCCTTCATGACCTGTAGGGCAGGGCCAAGAGGAGGAAGCAGCCTCAGACCAGACGAAAGACTCCCTGCCCCAAAGGCCGTCAGCCCATAGTCAGCACTTCTGGAAGGAAGGAAAGAAGGAAGGTTTCCTTCTGCAGAAAGCTGCTTTTTGGCTTGTTTCTGAAGCCAGGGAGGGTCACCAAAGCCAAGCTCTTCTGTGGTGCCTATGTTACTGTCCATGCCCAGGGTGTACATCTGACCACCCCACCCTCCTCCCAAGTGGGGCTTGACGTTCCCTCCAGCTGGAGACCTGGGCCCCTGACATGGCCTGGCCTGTTTGCTGTGCTTGGGCTGAGCGTACCTGGTATTTCCTGGTGTTCTTTGCCTTGATTTCCTGAATGTCAGGAGGACTGACCACACCTGGCCCCGGATATTCATTGGAATCCCTTTATAGACTCTTCCAACCAGCTGTGAGCAGAAAACAATCTGGTGACGCAGGCCAGGGGCGACCCCAGCGAGGACCAAAGCCCGAGGTTCTAAAAATCATTGGTTTTGGCCCCATGATTCCTCGGTGGAGGTGAGGTCAAGCTGGGACAGGTCTCCCCTCCAGGACTGAAAGAGTGTGGGTGGGCACTCAGAGTCCTGAACTCTGATCTGGACCTATTCCTTCTTTCAGGTCACCAGGAGGCTTCCCCTAGCTCTGAGCTCTGGGTGGCCGCAGCCCAAGGTTCAGACTCCCTCCCAGCAAGGCGACGCTCTCACCAATGGGCAGCAAAGCTGGTGACCAGGCCTGAGATCCTCTGTGTGAGGACAGTGTGCCACCTACCCTCTGAGAGGCTGATGGTGCCAGGCCACAGCCATGGGTGCCTGTCCCTGTCCCTGCAGAGAGTGGTTGCGGAGCCTCTCCCTCCACACATTTTTTTGCTGTTCTTCTATTTCTTCCATTCTCCCAGCATTTCCATCCACTTGATCTTGCGTCTTAGCTCCTGCCGCATTTGCTGTCAAATGAAGAATGTTGGAGTCAGTGGAGCTGCCAGGCCTCCCAGAGCGGCCCGTGGATGCTGCGTCTTGGACTCTGGAGCCCTGGTGGGACCCAGCTGTAAGGAGCCAGGGAAGGACAGACCCTAAGGGCTGACAGCCTTTGAGCCAATGAGCGCCAGTGGGCTGGCCTTGGGTCCCTGGGATGTGCCATCCTCAGGCCATAGACACACCAGTCATAGGTCAGGTCCCAGCCTCTAGGTGGGGTTCTGACACAAGTGGGCAGCCACTCCCAAGCCACAACTCTGGTTCTCACCTTGGAATTTCATCAAACTGCCAGAGGTACAGCGACTTGGGATCAGGTCCAGCAGGGAAGCTGCCCCTCCCGGTGACAACATGTTGCTCCCACCTGCCCCTGCCCAGGCCTGCTGCCTCCTCTGCTTCACTGACCACCTGCCCAGTCCCCCTGTCCCGGACCAGCCCCCCATGCATCAGGATCTTACCTTGGCCTCCTGGGAACTGACGGGGGCGCTCCGTCTCACTGTAAGGCAACCAGGCAGAGCTGAGGACCTGCACAGGGCCTGGAACTATCCCGGTCTGGGAGCTGACCCCCAGAAAGAACTGGCTCTGTCCCCATCCAGCTCAGGGCTCAGCCCAGGAAAAGGCACAGGGAAGGGAGGACAAGGGCTTTCCTGTGGGACTGACTCCCGGGAGGGGCTAGGACCTGGGAGGAGAGGGAGTGCAGGGCCAGCCTGGCCAGGGTTACTGGGGCCCCTGGTGTGGGGGGCAGTCAGGCTGCACAACGGGGTGCCTCTCCTGGCCTGGAGGTGGTGCTTTCTGCTGGACCTGAGAAAGGTTGGCCCTGAGATGGGATGGGGGCTGTCCAGGGTGAGTGACTGGGCCCTGACAGGAGTCCCTCCGAAGTGACCACGAGATGTGGGACCGCCCGGGTCTCAGGAGCCTGGCCTGAGACCTGTCCAGTGTACCCAGGGTGTACTCGGGGCCCACGCCACCCAACATACCCAAGGCCCTCACAGGGTCTGACCTCCCAGCGTCCACCTGCCTCTCCCTGCACCCAAGTCAGACACCCTGCATTTTAGAAGTGGCACGGCTCATAAGCTCCCTCCCACCCTTCCTCCCTGGGGATCCTCTGTCTCTCCATCCTATGATCCCTGAGGGATGGGCGCCAGGCTGGGCTCCTTACCTGGCCCCAGATCCCTTCCCAGCACCAGACCCAGGCTCTTTAGCTGCAAGCTCTGCTGCCTCCCTGCAACTCACCGTGAGATGCCCAGAGCAAGGCCCTGTCCATCTTCTCCCCCATCCCCCTAGGGCCACAGCCCCCACTGTCCCCATGCCTTTCCCCCTTTTCAGTGGGGACAGCGAGGGCTGTGGCTCTATGGAAATGGGGGAGAAGAATGCTGGACAACAGGCCTGAGGCTGGGCCAGGCATCCCCTCACCCTGTGGCCACAACCCTTGGACCTCATTGGGGTTGTCTCCAAGTGGACAGGGCCAGGCCCTCAAGTTGCTCCCCTCTTCTTGTGCTAACTTGGAGACAGAACTGCTGACAGCCCAGTGGCCTGACCCAGGCCCCTCCCCATTCCCACCCACTCCGTGGATGGGCCCCGAACCTCTGGCCTAACAACCTCAGGCTGGACCTACAGCGGAGCCAGGGAGGAGGTCTGACCCTGGAAAGGCGGTTGGCCTGACCTGGGGAGACGTGGCCTGCCTCAGAAAGGCCTTTCTAAAAGCTTTAGGGGCTGAGGGGAGCACGGAGGACTCACTGCACAATCCCAAAGCAATCAATGCAGTTGTATATTTCAACAGGCTCAGGCCCCATATCCACTGGCAGCCAGCTCGGTGTCCCTGCAACCCAGAGGGAGTCTTGCTGAGGGTTCCAAGGTAAAGGGTACAAGGGCCAGGGGTATTAGCCACTCATCCCTGCCCTGTGTTCCTAGGGAGCCCAGGACCCTTTGAGCGGGGTGCACTGGAAGAGTCCTCCCTCCCGGGAGCAGACCAGCTGTACCTTCTCATATTTCATGATGATGTCCTCTCACTCCTGCAAAGTATCCTCGTCCTCTATCATGTCCATCCTGTGAGACAAAATTGTTACTCTGTACCCGAGAGCTTCAGAGAACACCTGAACCGCTCCCACCGGGCTCCCAGATGCTAGCTGGCTGCGTAATTCCCATTCCACCACTGCTGCCAGGTGAAAAGGGGCTAGACCCAGTGGCCCACACCTGCACAGGTCTCTGGAGTCTCAACCCCCAAGCAGGGGTGGGCATCTTCTCAAGGACTTGAGAACAGTGGGACCTGGACAGAGAATCCCATTGTCCCCAAATACCATGAAATGGGCACACATCTGCCCCAGCAGGTTGAATGGTGTCCCCCTACCGAGGGTGAAGGGCCCATGATGGGCTATTCCAGGGATGTGGAGGCAGACTGAGGTCAGGGACCAGAGGTCTTTGTACGATCGGTCTCCTGGGATGCTCAGGGACCACAGAGATGCCCAGTTTCCCACAGGGAACAAGATTTCTCCTGACTGTTCTGTTCTTCTCCACTCATCACTGGGGCTACCGTGGCCCTTCAGTCTGCCCAGTGAAGCCGCTTTAGGAATAATATCAGCTGAGCAGGAGGGTGTTTTGTTTGGGCGATGAAAATGATCTACTATGTGCTCGTGGAAACCACATCTCTGGAGGAGGGACAATGGACTCCACCATTCTGAACTCTCCAGACAGGAGGGGGCTTCATCTTCCCGGGTCACTGACGAAGAACAGTGGGTCCTTGGCCCTGGAGAACACTAGAAGGACTGTCCCTCCTGGGAACACTTGGGACAAAAGGAGGGCAAGACCTGGAGAGGACCAGACGGAGAAAGAAATACTTGAGGAGAACCCAGTGCCTGGACTCTTTTGAACAGGAGGGTGATAGTCTCCCTCCAGCCAGCCCTCCAGGGATTCCTCATTTTCCACAACTACCCAAAGGCAGAAGGCTCCCCATGCCATCCTGGACAAGGGACTGTGTGTGTCCAGTGGGTCCCACAGTGACCAGCAGGACCCAGCTTAGGCCACTAATGTGTTCTGAGGACCCTCCCGTCCTCCTCACCCACAGTGGATTCATCCCAGTGGCTCTGCCAGGGCCAGGCTCTGCCCAATCAGGATTGGAAACCCTGGACAGATTTGGGATCTAGGGCAGGGAGGCCACAGCGTTCAGGCCTGAAGTCCAGCCTCGCACAGAGCAGGACTGAGAGCAAAATCCAGGGTCACATAGGGATTCCCAAGCTGATTACTGTCTCTCTGACCCCAGACATCTGACCTACCGAATGGGTGCATTTGGGAACAGCACCAACCCTACAGAGCCACCATGACGAAGGAGACAATCGTCTTCATGGGGAGTGCAGAGTGGGTACCTGGTGAGTCCTCAGCAATGACCCTCCTCAGCAGCTGCTGCACAGAGGCCAGCACCACCCACAGCGTAGCCACTGTCCCCAAGTCAGCACGGAGGGAAGACAGCAGGTCACACTCACCTGATTCTGACGGATCAGCTGGCCTGGGTTATACCTCAGGTAGAAAACCTTTGAGTACACAGAAGCGCTCTTCTGTGTACCACCTGCCCAGTCCCTGGTCCAGCCCCCCATGCATCAGGCTCTTACCTTGGCCTCCTGGGAACTGACAGGGGGCAGCTCTGTCTCACTGTAAGGCAACTAGGCAGAGCTGAGGACCTGCACAGAGCTTGGAGCAGTCCCAATCTGTGCAGCAGCTGCTGAGGAGGGTCATCACTGAGCACTCACCAGAAGTGTTCACAGATA